TGCCACTGAAAGCCCATTCCTACAAATAAAATGTTATCTCCTACATGATTCTCTTCAGTTACTGCTAAAAAGCACCTATCAGTGATAAAAAGGTAAACTGCTGATGGCACAACTCACAAAAAATAACTCTAATAACGTGTCTTTAAATGTCATCGGAATTTTCAATGAATTAAACCTAATTAATGTTATGTAATGAGATTATGTCAAGAGTCGCAGAATTGAAAAGCACAAATTTTCGACAATAATATATATCAAAACAAATTCATTACGATCTACAAATTGACGAAAAAACAGTATGAATAAAAGCTGTAGCAGAAGATTGGGCAAATCTCTTAAAAAAACCATAGAAAGCTATTTATGTCAAAAGTGGCAAAAGTTGATATGAATTAACGTGAAAGACAGAATTCTATTGGCAAAACTAACCTTGATAATATTGCCGGCTCGCTGAGCAACACTTACTGACAATGCAACTAACTGAGTTATAAAACACGAATTCTTGAACATTTCTTGCTTCCCTTTCAAATCCATGGCATTACTTGCCATGTGAGGGAATTTCAGATCACTGATAAAGAAGTACAAAATTGAGGTTAAGAAACACGGAATATGAGAGGTAAAAGACAAGGAAGGTAACTTCGAATCTTGTTCTTCACAAACCACCGCTAACGTTAAGATACGCTTTCCGATAACTGTGACCGAGACCTCAAATCAATGAATCGTAAACTACGGCACGGTCCACTGTATTCTATCGCAACGGAGTAGTAATGTGGGACAGGCGAATGTTTCTAGTGATTAATTAGCACGAATAAGTGAGCCCACCCCTAAACCTCCGAAAGTTTTCAAATGATCCTGTTTTTCTTCTATTTTTAGGGAACATTTAGATTGTGGACAAAGCGTTAAACAGCATTATTATTTGTTTAAATTTACTAGTATTTCCTTTTCTGACGTAGAATGACTTCTAGCTTTAACGTGTAAACAGTTGCAATGACTTATTTCGACGGAAGCAACCGATTATTACTTAGAAATAAGCCAACCTATTATTATCTAGAAATCGTTCAAAGCTGTAATTAATTTGCTTAGGTGTTCGGATTTTTCGGATCGTGCCTTTAGTGATACCAAACAGACCTTTACGTTTTACATAATAGTTTGTTGGGTGTCACAAAAGCAGGATTTTTTCATTGTTTTTCCTTTAGACATTAAAATTACAATAAATCTCTACTTTTTAGCATATTTTGCAAGAAACTCCGCTGTGAAATTATTATAAGCCTGGTAGATAAATTCCTTTTCCAGAAGTCATGAATTCGGAAGGGCGAAATCTCACTTCAGTTTTCGCTCGCTTCCTAAGAGAGTATATTATAAAAGTCGATTGCTGATTATTTCGAAGAATTTATAGTATGGAACACAAAAATATACTAGTGGCCGACATCGAATAACTTATTCCAGCTGATTTAACGAGATAAAGTTGCCACAGAAAGCCGCTTTTCATCTACCGAATTCATCGTGCTCCTTATCGCTTTTTTCATGTCATCAAATTTGAATTTATCACAATTTATAGGTCGGTACTTCCCCTCCGAATCAAATTAGCTCTATATTGGAAATTTTGTTCCTTTCCTGAAGAATGTTATTTCTGATTTTTTTGGTGTCTTCGAACTAATAGTTCAATACTTTTATACTTTGTTTTAACTAGCATATGACTAATTTCTATACATTTTTGCAGTAAGCATTTCGAGCATATTACGAGAAAACTTTTGGATTCGAATTTTTTAAATCAAGTGCATAACCATCAAAAAATGAAAACTTTTCAAAAAGATATTTTTTTAAACAAATTAACATTTGTATACAGATTATGTAATCATTACAGTGAAAACTGCCTAAGATGCACACAGCTGTAAAGCTATTTCTATAAGAACAAAAAACCATGAATTTTTCAAAATCTTGCATACTTTCAAAAATAAATGGATTGGTCGATTCCTGAAGTATACTTTTACGAGTCAATAAACAAATTGTGACTGAGGAGCATTAAAAGTATAATTAGATATCTTACAGCGATCTTTTGCATCATAAATGCTCATGACACAGAAAAATTGCAATAATCTGGTGTCGCTAATAAACATTACATAAATTTCTGATACATTAAGCTTCATTTTTTACTGCGTTTCCAACTTTTGATTGCACAAATGAATTGTTTGTTCCACAAAATTTTAAATCAATTGAGGTCACTCACCATAGGCAAACTATCACATCTTATTTTCCGGACGGTCATTAGCGAAGTACTGCAATCGCCAACACGATTCATTGAGAGACGGACACTATTAGCCTTAAAAATATTTCTGCCAAAAACATTCGCAAAATTCTTATAGAATAAATAGTTTCTCAGGTTTGTTTAAAACTTCAACTGATAAAAAACCTTTATTTAGTATGAATAATGGATGAAGGATTATTTCTATCGCCAAAATCTGTCCCATTCTCCAAAAAGAAGTACGAGTATCAGTTTTAGTGTCTTGACTACAATATTTCATAATTATAAAATGAACCTCAACCGATTCAAAAGTATTGAAACACGCTTTTATCCCATGAATGCTTTTTGAAAGAAAAGATTTGTACGAAGTACCTGGTATATAATGTACCAATCCTTCATCATTTTTTCTCCAGAAAGAAGCAACAGCAACAAAAGTAAGAAGTTTTTCTATTAGTGATCTTCGTAGCTTACATAACTGAAATTTGTAAAAATGCTCAAGAACCGTAATGTATAGATTATCGAGCAAAATACTAACGTTACAGTGAACTGAAACTGTTATCAGCATTAGAAAATAGTAAAAACAATAAGACCAACCTTTGCCTACATCTCTTTTTAAACACTTCCTTTTTCGCATATTTCGCTCTTTTTTAAGTTCATCCACACTTAGCATAGTTTAATCTTTCACACATCATTTGATATCCCAAGCTTTAGCTTGACTACATCAAACAAAAAAGACTGATAAAGGATTTGGTAACAAAAAATTTATAACAAAACAACTAGTCCTTCTAGTTAATATTAACGTAAGTTTGTCAGACAGCTATACCTATCTGCATATGGCGCAAACGAACATAATCTATTGAAACCGTCACTCGAAATGGTCTGTGCACGATTCTAAACTACAAATTTAGTTTTCATTACTTAAATAAGCTACACTTATTACACGTCGGTATTTAATACGACACATAATAAAATAAAATCACAAAAAAGCCTTAACATAAACATTACAGAATGTCACCAAAATGAGGCTTATTAAAGTAGTTATTACAATGTAATTTATGGAAGAAAAAAGTGTCATCCTTTTCTTTAATGTTGATAGTTGCCCATTAATGAGTAACAGAAATGCAGAATTTGTAAAAGAGCAAAATTTAATTCAACTAATAATTTATTTCCTTAACTTCTCAGTTTCATTCCTGCCATGGTAAATATCTGGCACATGAATAATATCGGCCGGGTTCGCTGAAACAAAATAACGAACAGAAAATGCATCCTGAAAACTACTGAGATAATGAATTAGCATGCTGAATTTGTGAAAAAAAATTTTTAGAAGGCTTAAAGGTGATTTTAATCTTTATTCTCTTTACTCCATACTCCGTAATTATGCACTAGATCTTTACAGACTAAATGAAAACTACGTTGCATCTAAAAAATGAGAGCATGACAGGACAACTATGACTTTTCCGGATTGCTACGTTCGTTATTGCCTCGAAGTAAGAATAGGCATGAGCAATTTTGACAACAAATTGCCAAATCTTTGTTGCTGTTCACATTCCTATAGAAACTGCATACAAATGATAAGCAAATAACTCAAAGCAAATCAAGTTTAATTCTTCGCCTATAAAACATGATACATCATGAATGCAGCAGCATGAGTGTAAGGTATAAACCTGGAAACTTGTACAGTTAAGGCAAATAACTCGGAAACACATATCTCAAAAATCTAAGCTAATGAGAAAAGGAAAGTACTTATGAATTATCAAGAAACCAGACTTCCCCCAGCACAATAATGAATTCTTGTCATTCAGACAAAACAAAAATAGAAATACAAGTCAGGCTTAATGTGGCTTTCCATTCAGTGACGAGATTCTGTACTGCTAATATAGCACTCAATCTCAATCTGAAATCATAATAATGATTTGAAAACAATAATGTAAAAAATAACTGGGAAAAGAAATAACCTAAGTTCAGTAGGGTTTTATGCTATCAAAATTCATTCTTCAAAACAAGCAAATTGCGTAAAATACATTACACAAAAAACACTAGATAAATATCTCAAACAGCGTCCAACTAAAATAAAAAAAAAAAGGAATTTAAATTGGAATAGCCAGCTTTCATGCAGTATAAGTTATTCTCCACGAGTTAACACCAGTCCGTGCCTGAAATCTCGTGCACATAAAAGCATATGCTTGAATATCTAAGGAAATATATTTCTGAAGAACTTCCAAATATTTAGTGAAATGGTTGAAGAATTTGTCAAGTTTTTCGACAGGTTTACTGAACAAAGGCAAAGTAGCAGCCACAGTATATATGACATCGTTACAAACCAATGTATTGTTGCATTCTTAGTTCCTTTTGATTTATGTTATTCTTTGATGAAAAGTGATATGGTGTGAGATACCAAGATTCACTGCATATTACACGCTGTAATGTCCCCTCATTTGAAAATGTTTCATTTGCTCAGAATAATATAGGACAAGTAGTGGGAAAATAACCATTAATACTTTACATACTTCTGACATACATCTCATATTTTTCGCATCTTTTATATACTTCTTATTTTTTGAATGCGGATCTTAGTGAATTATGATGCAAAAAAACCTTGAAACTTATAGAAGGATTGATGATAAAGGAGACCGTTTACAGCACTGAGTTCGCTGTTATATTTTCTTCTCTACTGATAAGCAAAGAACTACAGCTAGAGAAAACGGCAATTGTTGCAACTCTGATTAAAATTAACTTGTAATACAAAGTAAACAAATATTGAATTTTATTCAGAATGAGATGATGAACTAGATGATTTCGAGCATTTCCGAGATTTTTTCCGAAGAGATTCACCATCACTACTGTTGCTTCGTTTCGATTCTTGTTGTTCATCTCTGAAAACTATGAATGGTATAGTAAAAATTAAGTTTACAACCGGAATTACTAAATCTAAAAACGGAAACTCCAATAGAAAAAAATCTGAAAACATGTTAGCTTGGCAAGGAGTAGCAATAGTTTAAACTCCAGTACGTGAGCGAAAACTCACCAGTAGACATGAATTGAGTAGTAAAAAACACCTAAGATAAAACAAACAATTCTTAAAAAAAAATAAGATGATCCCCAGCTTCGTGACCATGTTTCTGGAATCTCTGTTTCAACAAACAAAGAGGAAAAAACAGTACCTTTCCCTATCCGTATCGATTATCTCAACATCCATGCTTTCTTTTCTCGGTCCATTACGTGCCAAAACTTTTTCCATCAGTCTTTCCCTCATAGCGGTTTCATCTGAAGCTGTTATCTGTTCTGGGTGATCTACTTCCATGCTTTCGCCCTAGAAAAATTTTAAATCATATTAAGAAAAAAGCTACATTCCATCTAAAAAAAGCTTACTTCACCCTGAGGTCTTCGTAAGACAATTCCGCACGAAAATACAGTTAATCAAACCTATTCTGTAAACTAAATAAACGTATCTTAAACGCAAAATCTTTATTCTAAAAGATCTATATAACTAACAGCAGAAGCAGTCTACATCGGACAACCATAACATACTATTAGGCTTAAAAATCCTTGAGATATAAGAGAAATATATCATCTGATTAAACTAACATGTTCGATCTGCAGTTTCACTTCAGCTTTAATTGAACTACTCTTGCTGTCAGTTTTTCGACTACTCCTTTCACGTTCTTTCTCTTTGCGCGAACTTTTCTTCCCCTTATCATGATCCTTTTCTTCTTTCTTATCACTTTTTTCACTTCGATTAGTTTTTTCCTTATCTCTTCGATTGTTACTTTCACGATCCTTTTCCTTCCTATCCTGAAAAAGGAAACTGAAGTATTAAAAAACACCCCTTTTTATAAGACTTCAAGAACTTTTTCCTAATCTTCTTTGATATAAATCGCAAAAGTATAAACCTTATCCTTATCACGTTCACGTCTGTCATCCTTCTTGTGCGGTGTGCGACTTTTACTTCGTTTTCGTTCCTTCTTCTCTCTTTCTTTCTCGCGTCGTTCCTATAAAGTCACCCATGACAATATTTCATATATTTACAATTGTATAATTGTATAACAAAGTTTTTTTTTTTTGAAATGACTTCACCTTTTCTTTATCTTTCTCTTTCCTATCTTTTGAACGTGAAAGTCTTCGATGACGAGAATGAGAACGTCTACGATGTTCGCTATAATAAATACAGAAAGGTTACAAACTTCAGACGTTCAACTGGTTTCAATCTTTAAGCAATATAATTAAAAAATCACTGTTTCAACTCAATTCCTTGTTATCTGAATTTAAGAAATTGTTATCTGCGAGGTCCATATAAATTATACAAACAAAAAATAAACGTCAAGGAGAAACAGAAATCAAATTTCTTTGCATTACGTCGATCTTTAGACCTTCTTCGTATAAATTTCCTAGTATTTTGCATTACAGATTAACAAAAGAAGACAAGAAAAAAAAAATACCGCGATCTACTGCGTGATCGTCGATCTTTAGACTTGCTCCGATGTCGACGGCGTGATCTAAACAACTGGTATAGCATCTGGTAATTGAAGAAGAATAAATCACATCTCAGATATAGTTTAAACATACTTTGACCGTGATCGAGAGCGTCGACGTCTGCTTGAACTACGACTTCGATGACGTCGAGGGGACCCAGATCGTCGCAAAGGAGAGTAACTTCGGTCCATTCCTAAAAGAATTAAAGGCGTTATTTATTTTCTCTTTCAAATTGATTTTAGTTAGCAAAACCGATAAGTTCTACACTGCACAAAACACTATTCAAGAAGTCAAATTAAGAAATATGACATCAAAAAATATAAACCAGTGATCCACATCTGGGGAAAACAAAAGTTACCCAATCCTTGGTTCAGCTTACTGAGGGCATTAACGGATTTATCTGGATTTTGATTGACCCGAATGGCTTCTTCGACCTCTTGCAAGGCCATGTCTGCCGTCTTTCTTTCCGGTTTAATTATAGCAACCCGAGAATGTTGTATGCTAAAAATCATTTGAATATTTCGAAAAATTTCAAGGATTACAGAGTAACTAAATGGAACGATTCAGTGTAAACAAAAGTAATTCAGAGATAAAATTTAGCGCCTTTTATCTTCTTTTGAAGTTGTGACTCATCAATGATTAACTGAAAACTAAACTGAGAATATAAACGCAATAGTTTGGTAGATAACACCATGCATTTATTTAGAAATTCAGATATCTGAATGAAAATACGTAAAATATTTAAAGAATCAAACGATAGTAGAACGAACCGTAAACAGCGACCCTTAAATTCGATGCCATTATTTTGTAGTGCAATTGGGACTGTTGGTTGATTGGTAAACTCGATGTATGCATACGCACACGGCAAATTTTCAGTGCCGGATGTCATCCGAAGATACATTACCTTAAAACTCAGTTATTGATTTACGAATCAGTGAAAGAAAAACTCACAATCTGCTGTACAAGATATTTCCAACGACCAGAAAAGCAAAGAAATAGGAACATCCTTTCAGAAAATGGAAAACGGGATTTAGTTACAACTTGCAAATGCATGTATCTAGAAGACAACCACCTTTAGAATTAAGGATTTGAAATCTCAAATTCCGTTCAGCTATCAGATATAAGAAATTGCTTTCATATCAGGATGGTAAGAGTGGAAATTTTGAAACATTTTTAGCTGTTTCAGCAAGCAGCCAGCTTATTCAAATTATATTCTGGATAAAACGAATAAAATAAAAATGGCAAGCATATCATTTCTTTTATACCACAATGACTCCAAGATCACGTGACTATGAAAGCAATGTTATATTTCTTTTTTCCTTTCTACACATGACAGCGATTTAAAAATCCGACAGAATACCTAATTACCATAAAATGATGAAGCCACTTATTTCGCTTATTCCTACAACTCAAATTTTGCATTTTCAGATAACAACAAGACTCTAACCGCTATTAAAAATGAATTCTGCATAAAATAAATAATAGAAAATATAAAATTGTTGAACTCAATCTCGAAATGTAATCATTTCTTATATTTAAGTCACAGAGTCACGGTTTCACAGCATTTTGAGGATGACACGTGAAGCTGGAAGTGGAACAGAGGCTACCTCATCATTTCTCACTTGTTCAAATGATAAATTTCTGTTAAGCACGCGATCAGAGAGAGCTGAAAAGTCTTAATTTTCCTTAAGCATATTTCAATTTACTTTTTTGGAAGTTTCAGATTTTCTATGAAGTTAGAAAAATCTAGGCCATGTTCATTGTAAACTTTTTTGCACTGTTGAATGAATATTATCAAAACCTCAAACATTTTGCAGGCAAATGTCTTCTGTGCGAAAGATAAACTGTAGAATATGCCTGGAAGAAGACAACGAATCAAACTTAATTTCACCATGTGAATGTCGTGGTTCTCTGCAATTTGTACATACACGATGTTTGCAACAGTGGTTTGATGTCATGCACACGCGAGTAAGTTAATATTATACAAAAATTACTGGAAACCGTTAACTTAATGACTTCTCAAAAGCAAAGGAGATAGAGAAAAAAAAACTTAAAATGTAGTCATTTTTATTTTCAAACTACTGAACCATGTTTCACAACAATATTGGGATGACACAAACATGAAAAGGAAATGAAAGCTATCTCATCATTTTTCGTTTGTTCAGATATTGACTTTTTCTTAAACGCATGACCAGAGTGCTTCCCAAAGTTTTAGTTATCCTTGGGAAAAAACTTACGAAAAAAGGAAAGGTAATTTTATAATCTACTTATAAAGCTAATACTCTAATTATTAAGCTTTGTCAAATATGTAAAACACAGTACGAACTTGAAGATTATGGAATGAAACCTTATACGGAATGGACATTGCCTCAACCACTGAGTGATGATTGGGAGGATCAACTGGATTTTAAATGCGCCCTATTTTGGCTTGTATTCATGTCACGTATTACCTACATTGTACTCAAGTCAGAACAGCTTCTACTGCTTTTTTATCTTTGCTTTCTGAACAAATAACTTATATTAAGCAACCATACACTCATCTGTTTATAGGATAAAACTTCATCATACCAATCAGTGCTAACTGAGATAAATTATGCAATAAGATTATCACTAAAGTAAAAAATTAAAATTAAGCTAAATATTTTTAAAACCTTAAAGTTGATTAAACTGATGATCGTAGATTTTAGATTTTTCTCTTTTCAAATTTCAGACATGGTATGAGAGAAACGCGTTTGGCAGTCATTCACATTGTAGGCGGAGGTATATTTCCATCGCCATCTCTTTCTAGCATTATTTGTGGAAGTCTTACGCCTACAACTGTATGCTTTCAACATCATTTTCAGGGAAAATGTACTACATATGGCTTCTATCATTCTGCATAAACTTTGCTTACTACAGTACAGTGATTTATGCAGTCATAAAGAGATGGAAAGAGATAAATTCTATCTATGTTTGGAAAAGCAAAGGAACCAAGAAAAATAATTGATAATGCAATTAGTAAAGCTCCACACAATTTTTACTAATAAAAAACTTTCCTAACATATTTTATTAAAGAATGGAATCCGAAATATTGATTCTAGAGCGTGACATAACTTTATTCTCACCAAATTCAGTATTAGTGACTGCTGCAAAAATAATCTTCAATACTATTAAATGAAGTATTTGACCGTAATCAATAGTGCACGTAAATGATTCATCTGTTACCATGTTTTCAAGTTAAATAAATTTTCGTAAAGCAAATATTTTTTTCTACAAGAATCAAAGACAAATAAAATGAACTTACTTCACCAATGCTGTCGTTGAAAAACTTCATTACTTCGTCACCAACGCAGTCTTTCGGTATATTACCAACATAAACTGTACGACGGATTTCTTCTACTTTTGATGCTTCTGTATTCGCACTCAATGTTGGATATGGTGGTAAACCAAGCGCCGCCAATGTCGGGTCCACTGTAAGCAACTGAAAATAGCATACCAATTTAATAAGACTGAAGCAAAAATTTGGGATTATATCTTTGAATTTCATTTTCACCAGCTCATAACGATATAAATCAAACGAAGCTTTCTTCGAACTCACAAGCAAAAATTTTTGTTTTGCATGTATGCATGCGGTACATTATACCAAATATAAAGTAGATAATAACAAAAAAAAAAGTGTTTGAAGTGGAAGAATGTTATGAGCTGTGGGTGATACTTGATTTTTTTTTTTTTTTTTCATGTAGAACTAAAAATATAGACATATGTTTGCTCAGAACAAGGGTCGTCTTGGCGCTGAGATGCCACGGAGGACCCACCAAATTCTGACTTCGGTATTGCACAATCTGTATTTGTACATGTTCACAATTCAATCACTCTATACCAAATTACTGAAACAAAATTTAAATGAATAGGACAGCTGCTGCTGGATCTTTCTGTTAAAGCAATGTCCATGAAGTTGAACTGAATCCAGAAAGAACGGCCAGAGAATTCCAACCAGCAAAATGCGATTTCTTCGCTACTGTGAATTTTTTTCGAACCTTCAAAAATTTACAGCTTCTCTCAAATCAGCGAAACGCATGTCATAGGATGGACAAGCTATATTCTTAGACATTGCCTAAGAATACGGTAAACCAGATGAGTTTATAAATTATCACAGTAAAGGTTGCTGATGGATTATAAATGTTGACCCATCAGTTCAATTCACTTTTTTGTCCATTTAAACCTCAAAACATCCCATATCTATCACTTTGTAAAACAGACCCTCTAGTGTCTTAACTGATAACTAAATCAGAGATCTTAAGCGACAAAACAGCAATAAGCGTTTCAACGGCGAGCTGTAATCGATAAAGCTGAAACAAATGAAACACATATTATAGCTCAAGGTCTGTTTCGTTAGAACTTAACATAAATATCGCCAAATTCAAAATACAGATGAACTGGGAAGTTATTTTATCCTCAAATATTTACCTTTATCCTCTCCCTTCCCACATCGGTCAGTCGTTGTCTAAAGAAAATGATTTTAATTTAATAATTTGATATAATCAAAAATAACCATTTGCTGCCCATCTCCTAAATCCTTGACTTGATTAACAACATTCGGTGGTAACTGACGTTGTCCTGGCCACGCCGGCCCACCTGTTTTCAGTGCTGTATCTTCATCCGGTATTGTATCTGCAAAAATATATTTACATATTTATTTGAAAAAATATATTTTTAAAAAATTAAAAAAATAAAATACGTTCATTTTTAGCATTAAATTAATATGTTCTATCATTATAAAACAGCAAATTTGGCCTTATATACGTCAAATAATTATCATTAGCCCAAAAATCTATGAATGAACTGCTAAGATCAATTTCGAGTAATCATATTATAGCTCAGCAATAGTAGAACAATACAACAATTCACTAGTTTCTCAAGCATGCCCGCATCACATGGAAAGGAGGAAACAATTAACAGATTCGGAGAGATTAAACACCACTGAACCTGATATAGATGGGATACAAACAAGAGCACGATCGATAAAAACAGTGTTCGTCAAATGCTGCGCCACTTCTACTGATTTCTGATCTTCAAATTTAACGTACGCAAATTTCTGAGTAAATGTCGATAATTGTGGATGATTATCAGAAGGATAAATCTGAACGAATTAATTATTACTGAACAAACAACGAAGAAACTATCCGCGATAAACACTTCCTTTCTATCAGAAACCAATTACGCGATAAATAATAAGGCACTCTTCGTCTTATCATTTTTTCCATTCCCATAGAAAATTAGACTCTGGCATCAGTAAAGATAAAAATTGTAAAGGCGAAGACTATGAACATACATAACCATAAATAACTAGAGCAAATAATTTTTTTTGTATGACAGAAAATTGAAACCCATAGAGAATTTCCTATTAATGTGACGATGAGTCTTACCTTAAATTCGTCAATTCGTCCAATAAAAGCGAAAAGCTGATATATCTGTTCACGCGTTGCTGTCATCGAGATGTTGCTAACGTGTAGCACACGAAATCGTGGTTCATCGGCGCCCATTGCTGCAACGAAACTTATTCCTTTTTTAAAACATCAAACACACAACATGACCGTAAATGAAAAAGGACGATTAAGAATAGCATCACAATTCCTTCAGTGAACAAAATTACAAGCAAAAATTCGGCTTCTGTTCCTCCAGAATTAGCTGAAAGTTTTACGCTTGAACTCCTTTATACCAAAGGTAACTTTTCAGAAGAAGCTATATAGCCAAATAAAATATGCATGGAAGTGTAATACAGAGAAGAATGATTCTGGTACAAATGTATAGATTTGCAGGAATACGGCAGAAAAAAACATATATGAGAGGTGCGTTTATGCAGCGGAACACTGTAGTAATGTAGTTCTGTAGTAATTACAGGTGTTTTGGGGTAAATCTGCT